AAATGTAACCTCTTTTTTTTTTTTTTGGTTTTTTTTTTTTTTTTTTTTTTTTTTTTTTTGGTTTTTTGAGACAAGGTCTCACTATATAGTTGAGACTGACCTGGAACTCACTATGTAGTCCAGTCTGGTCTCGAACTCACAGCGATCCTCCTGCCTCAGCCTCCCGAGTGCTGGGATTACAGATGTGCGCCACCAGGCCCAGCTCTCTAGTTTTAGTTTTTTGAGGAATCTCTACACTGATTTCCACAGTGGTTGCACGAGAGAGACCTCATTCTTGGTAGACACTTTTACTGGATGTTGCTGGTTTTTCAGCCTTTTGAAAAAAAGTATTTATTCCTTTGTCTTCTACCTTTCATGATAGCTGTTAAAAATAAGCTATGGGTCTGTTTTTTGTTTGCTTGTTTATTTGTGTTTGCTGAACTGAGGACTGAACCCAGAGATTTTACACTGAGCTATATCCTCAGAGCTTTTTATTTTTTACTTCAAAACAAGTTGTTGCTAAATTGTACAGGATGGGCTTGAGTTTATAATCCTTCCTCAGCCTCCCAGAGAGCTTGGATTACAGATATGTTGCCACTATGCCTGGCCAGAGCTTTTGAATTTTGATTATTGTATTTATTTGTTTTAAAAGTTCTGATAAGCCAGGGATTTAGCTCAGTGGCACCTCACCTGCCTCCAAAGCACAAAGAGTTTGATCTCCATTACAAAAATAAAGTTATGATAGGTTATCTTCAAACCTATTGCCACTGGATATAATTTCCTATACCTTCACAATAGTATCCAGCTTGGTATTTATTTAAACGGTAAATATTTTTGTTTTATTATCTGTGTCAGATGGTACTGATATGCCAACTCTGAATATATCTGTTTCTTTGGCCTTGTTTCCTCCTGAAGACCATGTAGGTCCATTATGGTGGAGCTCCTACCAGCACAAGTTAGACTGAGGCAGATATGTTCTTTTTGATACCAGGGATCAATCTCAGGACCTTGTGCTTGTGAGGCAGGCACAGTATCACTGAGCTAAACCCCCGGCCCTTTCTGGGCCTTCAGGAGCTGAGTTGCATGCAGCTTAGACATACTTCCTGTCAAGGAGTAGGCTCTGTGGTCACTCATTTAAACCTGGGTTCCAGTTCAGCGCCACGGAGCCATCTGCCAGACGCTGGGTAAGAAAGAGGCTTCCTCTCTTCAGCCTCGGTTCTTCCTCTGTACAAGGGTGGCTGTGATATGCCCTCCCTCCTAGGCTGTTGTGAGGATCTATACAAATTATCAGTGACTGATACGTAACAAATTATCCCAAAATTAGCAACCCAAAACAACAGTGAATACACCTGATCTTACCTCATTCCATGAGCACTTGGGGTCGGGAAGGTCCTCTGGGAACGGCCCCTGGCCTCAGGGCATCCTAGTGCTCATCCGAGTCCCTGAGCCCCGCCCCGCCCTGCCGGAGTCCCTTGACACTAAGGCTGCATGGAGGGAAGGCTTTTTCACAGTCTGTCAGTAATTGGCTCACCGTGTCCATATCCATACTGCGGCCAGATGCCTCTTCTCACCACAGTCCAGTCCATTCCAGCCATGGTAAGAATCAATGTTCCTGATTCTCCTGTGTGATCCCAGTCACAAGAAGCAGGTTATAGGCCACGAACTGCATGCTCAGGACACTGCTCATCTGCCCAGATCCTCACTGGAGGAGCCATCTGCAGGTGCATGACTGCATGTACTCTGGGGGTCCCAGATGCACACTGAGCTGTCCAGGAGGCAGAGGCCAGTAGACCACCATCAGGGCTGAAAGCAAGGCTAGTAATGCTGTCTCTGTGGCCTCGTGGCTTTTTAAAAAGGGTCCCAGAAGGGTTGGGGATTTAGCTCAGTGGTTCCGCTGCCTGCTTTGCAAGCACCAAATCCTGAGTTTGATCCTTGGTAGCAAAAAAAAAAAAAAAAAAAAAAAAAAAAAAAAAAAAAGTTGGCCCGTCACAGTGTACATTTGAGAAATACTGTTATACTGTTTGCTGTTTCTTAGTTCGAATTACTTTTGGGCAGGGGATTTAGCTCAGTGGTTCTGCCACCTGCTTCAGAAGCACAAGGACCCGAGTTTGAGCAAAAAATAAAAGGGGGGGATCCCAGAGGCCACATCCCACAGTTTTAACCACTGGTCCTTGACAGCAGATGCCAAGTACTTCCCACTGGGAGAGAAAGCTAGAGAGCACAGGCTCATGGTGCCTGTGAAGAGTCTTGTTGGTCGAGCCTGTGGCTAAGTAGTTAGAGTTAGGGTGGAATCTGACACAGTCCACATCTGCCTGGTGTCCTGCATATATCCTCAGTGGGTACGTCCAATCAAAGGACCACAGCCTGGCTGTGTGGGACCCACTGGAGAAGTACAGGCTGTACGGGCTGATGTCCAGGCTCCACACAGGGTAGGCATGTCCTCAGTACAGCACACTGTCCGTGAAACTCCCCAGATCCCAGTCCTGGATGGACATATCCTCAGAACAAGAGAGCAAACCCTGAGCCAGGAAATGTGTGCTATACACTGGTCCACAGTGTCCCCACAGGATCTTCCTCTCTGTGCCTGCGCTGTCCTCCTCGTTTTCCTCTTCCTCCAGAGTGTCACAGCCAAGTGGATGTGTGATGTGTCTGCAAGGTGGGGCTCTGACTTCATCTTCTTGGACTGCAGACTCCAGAGTTTTATGCAGGAGCTGTCAAATCCAGCAGCAAGCAGCTTGCTATCAGGGCTGTAGTGTTTAGCAGCTGCTCCATGTTACAGAAGATGTAGAAGCAGATGGTGGGGTGGTGGGACATCCTTGATGTGTTTGATGCTCTCTTGTAAGACATCCAGTGTGGCCTTGTTCTGCTGAATGGGTCTGGGCACATCTGGGGCTCCGGGCCGCTGCTCTCACCGTGGGAGGAGCCACCACTGGAGTAGAGCTGGTAGTCTGTTCTCTTGGCAGGCTGCACATCCAGGTGGATATGTAAGGTCAGGACCTCACATAGGGCAGTGCTGTCACTTTGGAGGCAGCAGATCAGGTAGTTGTAGCTGTCTTCCTGGAGATGGACCACATACTTGTTATCTAGGAATGCACGAACGAAGCTTGAAATTGGACAGGATGCCCTGGATGGTCTGAGTGGTCTGCAGCTGCTCAATGACATCCTTCTGGCTTGCATTCTGCAGGAACCTTCCATGGAAGGGGCTGTAGAAACTTCCCACTGTGCTCTTCAGGGTGCTCTGGAACAGGCTGAGATGGAGGTAGACAAACAGTGGGTAGAGGCGAGGCATAACTTCATGGCTGTGCTGGGAAGCAGAATCAGTGAGAAAATTCTGCAGTCGTCCAAACTGTACTTCGTACTGCTGGGGATCTGCCTGGCAAAGGGCTGCAGACACTATGTTGGCACAACCGGATTCTGACTGCATTGTGAGGTTGGCTGCCTTCTCCTCAGCAGTCTGAGACGGATGCAGGCCTTGCTTCAAGAGGTCATCTGAATCCACGTATTGCTGGCGTTTGAGGTAGCAGGACACTGCCATCTGGACGTGCTCAGTGTGCCAGACTGAACATCCTGGGAGGCTCCCACTCTGGCCACCCGCTGCAGGCCCTTGCTCCACGGCCACTCCCATGGGCACCTGACAGAGGGGCGTGCCTTCTTCTGAATGCTTTACATCAAACAACGGGTGAGATAGGTACTACTACCCTCCCCCTTATAGAAGCAGAACCAGAGGGCACACCGTAGTTGAGAAACTTGCTGAGTATCAAACAGCAAGTACGTGCTGAAGCCAGGATTCTGTGTGTGCTCGTGTGTGCATGCAGTACTGAACTGAGGACTGAACATCACCAGCCCGTTTTATTTTGAGACAGGATCTAAATCACTAAATTGCCCAGTCTGGACTCAAAACTTTTGATCCTCCTGCCTCAGCCTTGTAGCGTGCTAGTATTATGCCATGTACCACTGTGTCAGACTTGGAGCCAGGATTTAACTGACTGCAGAGTGAAGTTTTGAGTGCTACAGTGGCACCTTCCTGAAAGGTGACACATGTGACTGCCAAGGCCATTGTACCAGCTATCTCCAGGGACAACTGAGCAAAGGACAGAAGGAGGTGGGAGAGTCGGTATCCTTTGCAACATCTCTGAAAGCTACCAGCCCTGATGTCCACACCATTCCCTGCTTCCTGTAAAATGTTTTCTTCTGCTTCTGTTACTATTTTTTGCAGCGCTGGGGTCTGAACCCAGGCCTTCTGCAGGGTAGACCCTTTATCCTGAGCTGTGCTCCCAGCCCTTGCTTTAGCCATTTTGACTCAGAAAGTCCCCCAACTGAGACCCCACTGCCTACAGAGTGTGCAGGAGATCCTGGGGCTGCGAGGAGTCTATTCTCACAAACCACTCGGCTGGGGTTCAGACTGAATGGCCTTTGCTGTGGGCCAGTTTTGAAGGCAGAGAAAAGATGCAGGGTAAAAGATGGTAGGATAGGGTAGAAGAAATCTTGTGAAGTAAACGTATATCTTAACTCTGCTTTATTAGGCACAAGATGATATTATATACTCATGGTCCAACAAACAGTATTGACTACAGTCCTGGACCCTGAGCGTCCCCAAAACAGGCTGGAGACTCTGCATTGACTCCACCTTGGTGCTCTGATCGGTACAGTGGGGGTAGGAAGGCCAGGACCCTCATTCCAAGCCATTGCTGAGTCTGATGAGAACCAGCCTTGTGTGGGATTCTTGTTTTTCCAGCCCAAACCCTTGTTTCAGGCTGCAAGGAGAATCTTTTGATCAATCCGGAGGACAGCGCTGCTAGTGCACAACATCCAGCCCATCTGGGCATCGAGGGCCTGGCTGCAGGCAAGGCTGGGCACCTTTGGTACAGAGATGCTTGCTTGCCTTTGTCTGCTAGACGCAGGGTACAAAGGCAGCGCGCTGCTGGAGATAGGGACCGTCCTGTGGACAGAGGGGCTTGGCACCGGCACAAGTGGAGGGAGAACCTGGCACTGAATGTACCGGGTAGAATGGCCCGCGGATGTGGGCATGTGCGCACTCATCAGCTCTGGAGGAAAGTGTCTCCTTTACTCACAGCTACACTACAAGCACCCAGAACAGGGTGGCTCACAGTATGCGCACAGGCACTGATGTGTATAAAAGAACACAAATGTGCAGGCAGCACACTCTCCCATGCTTCCTCTCTTCTGGAAGGCACTTGAGGTTGGGCTCAGTAGAAAGAGGCAGGAGAAAGCTTGGAGATCCTCAACCGCCATTTGCAGCTGGGCACCTAGCTGTACAGACCGACGTCCTCACCGTCCCTCTCCTCCTCCAGTCCTGCCCCATCGGGGACCACCTGATCAGCATCCCCAAGGTGGGATGGGGATGCAGCTGAGGGGACTGGGTTCCCCTGCAGCCAGGGGTGCAGCAGGATGCCCGTGGCCATGAGCCTCTCAGCTGGTTCCCGCCGGAGGAGGCAGCGGACCAGGCAGCGGGCAGGAGCTGAGAGGCCAGCAGGCAAGGTGAAGGCACCACGGCGGATCTTGCCAAAGAGCAGGGCGGGCTCTGAGCCCTGGAAGGGGTAGTGGCCGGCCAGCATGGTGAAGAGCGCCACACCCAGGCTCCAGACGTCGGCTGCCTTGCCGGAGTAAGACGCCTGAGAGCTGAGGATCTCCGGTCCCACGTAGGCTGGGCATGCCTGTTTGTCCCACAGCAGGTCGTCAGGCCCCGTCAGGACACAGGCGTCCTCCAGGTTCTCCAGCACCAGTTGTGTCCTAGGCAGGGGCAGAGGGGTCAGGTCCTACTGGAACCCCAATGCCACACCATCACCCTCAGTGGAACCCACTTCCCCAGCACCCGCTGGCATTGGACAGCATGAGCCAGTCCTGGGATGACAGAGTCATCTCTCCAACAGAAAGCCCAGGCTCAGAGAGGTGAAAAATGTTTTTTTATTGCTGAGTATGGAAGTGCATACCTGTAATCTCAGCACTTGGGAGGCTGAGGCAGGAGAACTGCCGTTGAGTTCCATGCCAGCCTGAACTACATAGCAAGACCTTGTCTCAAAAAAGTAAACAAACAAACAAAAAAGAAGCAAGAGAAAGTAAAGAAAAATGTTTCTCTACCTCACAGAGCAATGAGATTTAATAACACTAAGATTTCAAGAACACGTTATCTCTCGTCCTTCAAGGAGGGGATGAGTGGGCTGAGCTTCACTTAAACTAGAGGTAAGCTTTGGGCCTGGGTGAGGGTAAAGGAGAGAAACAGGAAATGAGCCAGGCACTGCAGCACAAGCCGGCCCTAAAAGCGCTCAAGGAACAGCACTGCAGGCCAGGGTCTCCCACGTGTCCCGTGCTCCCAGCTCTGGGTTGAACAGCTTCCTGGCTTATATCATGCCCTGGTTCACACGACCCTGGAGGGAGACACCATTCCACCACCCTCTCGTGCCCTTCCCAAGGGGGCCCACTCCAATGTTCATGCTGGTGGTACTGGGCATCTAACCTAGGGCCTTGTGCATACTAGGCAGTTGCTATGCCACTGAGATACATCTCTAGCTCTCCCTAAAAAAAATCATGTATTTTTTTACTATTTAAAAAATATTTTGTGTAATAGAGTTGATTTTTGTATATTGAAAAAATAAATAAATAAATAAAATATTCTGTGGTACTAGGGATTAAATGCAGGGTCTTATACATGCTAGGCAAGCACTCTACTACCAAGCTATCCTCCCAGGCCCAGAAATCATATTTTACTTTTTAAAAAGGCCACAGTTTTAAAAATATGGGCAACCAATTTCAGTTAAAAACAAACAAACATCTATGCAGGGCCAAAAAAAAAAAAAAAAAAGAGGGAGAAGAGGAGCCTAACATTTGCAACTTCTACTTTATTTTGTTTTTTGCAGTCAGGGGATTGAATTTAGGGCCTCATGTGCCCTAGGCACCTGCTCTACCCCTGAGCCATAGTCCCAGCCTCACAACTTTTACTTTAAACATCACCCACAGAACACTCTAAATTACATTCATAATAATTGTTTTTTAACCACCACCACTAATTGTCCTTAGGGCACCACTTCCTGGGTACCTCCTGGGCTCATGTTCTGATGGATCCTGTGACTCAGCCTGGGCTAGAGGTGGGTGAGGGGTGAGAAGTCAGCATCATTGGCCCATTTGACGGATGGGGAAAAGAAGACTTGGGCAGCGGAAGCCAATGCTCAAGGCCAAAAAGCAGGCAAGAAGCAGCATCTGGCATTGAAATCCAGATCTGCTGGCTCTGCAGTCCCCCTGCTGCTGACTGTTCCCAAACTACTGCCTTGGAAAGAGTTTTCCTCCAGAAGGTTTGTGGCAGCTATGCTTGCTCTAAGCATGTAACCCATTTGAGTTGGGCATGATGGTGCAGAGGAGGCTGAGGCAGGAGGAGTTCGAGGCCAGCCTGGGTTATATAGTGGGTTGAAGGACAGCCTGGACTACATAGTAAGAACACCTCAAAAACAAAAAACAAGGGCTGGGAATTTAGCTCAATGATTCTGTCACCTGCCTCACAAGTGCAAGGTCCCGAGTTCAATCTCCAGTACCAACAACAACAACAAAAAAGTATAATGATAATGTAAAATAGGAAGAAAAGGACCAAAAGGGAAGAGGAAGTAGAAAGGAGGGGTGGAAAAAAGGAAAGGAGGAATGGAAAAAAATATGAGAAAAGAAGGAAAAAATGGAAATAAATTTTTTGTAAATAGGAGGGGTGGAGGTGTGGAAGGGATGGAAGGGGAAATGGGGAAAAAACAAAAACCAAGATATATCATGTTCAGGTAAAATGCCCCATGTTGAATATGATCATAATGAATACCTAAATGTACCAATAAACTGAATGGAGAGAGAGAGAGAGAGAGAGAGAGAGAGAGAGAGAGAGAAGGAAAGAGAGAAAGAAAGAAAGAAGCCAAAACTCAGCCTTAGGCAAACACAGTGTCAACTGCTCCAGGCAAGATGGACAGATGTGAAAATTAGTCTCTGAAAGTTTGATTATATGCACAGCCCCCAAGGCACCTATTAGTTACAAAAGAGCAGGGGGAACTTTACCCACTGGAGAAACATAGCAGATGCCCCTTTCACCATTGATCAAGGTTAAAATCACGCTAGGGAATTCATCAGCTCCTGCCTCTCCTGCCTTGCTGGGCTGAGGACCTCTTCCGGCTACAGGACCGCGCCCTGGAGCCCAAGGTTTACAGCAGGCTGGTCTGCTCTCCCTGACTTTTCCCAGGGAATTTGGGAGTGGGTGCCAGGTTAGGAGTCTCATTTTTAAAAAATTGCTGGTGCGGTGTATGGAACCCAAGGCCTCCCGCGTGCTCTAGCATGAGCTACACCTCTTAGCCCAGGCTTCTCCTTTACTTGCCTAAGTTACTCTGCTTTCCTGGGCCTCAGTTTCCCCAGGGTGGCCCACCCCTTGGGCGTGTCTCTGGGTTTCTGTGGCCCCACTCACCTCTCACGGTTGGCAAAGACGAAGCGACGCAGCTTGATGTCCCGCAGGACCAGGCCGTGTTGGTGGCAGTGCGCCAGGGCGGCGGCCATCTGACGGAAGAGCGCAGCGGCCTCTGGCTCAGGAAGGCGGCGGCGGCGGCGCACCAGGCTGTGCATGTCCCCGTGAGTTCCGGAGAAGAAGGCATAGAGGAGCTCGGTGCCCAGCAGGACCTGGGCGGGCCGAGCCACGTGCTCGTGGGGGGGCAGCCTGGAGTAGGGCTCCAGCACTGCCTGGGCTAAGGATGCCGGGTACACCTGCGGGAGGGAGCCAGAAGCAGTGTGAGTGCACAGAGGTGGGGACCCCAGGTGGCCTTGCAGACAAGTTTAGCCACCACTTTTGCTGTTTTTTTTGTTTTTGCTACTGGGGATTACTAAATGACCCAGGCTGGGCTGGAAGTTGCAATCCTTCTGCTTCAGCCTCTGAGACTGTTGGGAATTATAGGCCCACACCACCACTCCCCACTCCTTCTAATGCTTACTCCCTTCATGGACTGGTTCTGCACAGCCTCTCCACTCTGGCCAGAGCAGGTCCTTTTCATCCTCAGAAGTGCATGTGCCCAGTCCCTAGTCTCTGCAGCTTTCCCTGCCCGACCTCTCTTCCCACAGATGGCCAGCTCCTATCCAGACCTGGCTGATGCCCACTGAACACGGATGAGGGAGGCATCTACCCTGTGCTCCCTTGGGCCCTAAGCTCCATCCTGCATGGTTTTTCCCGCTGTGGGGCCCCGTACTGTGAATGCCCCAGTGCCACACCAGCTCTGCTGTACCTCCCTGGTTCCAGCCCAGCCACTGTCTGCTTCCCCAGTAAACACAAGAATAAAGGAGCCCTCCAAGCCCTGGTGATGATTCTCTGGAGCCTGGTCCCCTCCCAGGCCCCAGGACGTACCTTACAGGTGTACTCGGTGCCTGTGGGGCAGTGCAGGGCCCGGTAGGCCCGCCCGCCTTCCTTGGGCTCCAGGAGGACATAAGGCCCAAGCCGCCGGGAGACAGGGGCCATGGCAGGTGCATGGGCCAGAGCAAGGGGTGGGCTCAGGGACAGCAGGCAGGGTACTGGCCTAGGCTGGGGCCCACTTCGAGCTCGTTTCTCAATGGGCCACTCAGAGTCCAAGTCAGCCACTGACTCCATTGGCTTCTTCCTGGAGGAAGCACCCTCAGGAACAGTCAGAGAGGTGGCTTGCATCTAGAAAGAAGGGGAAAAAGGCCCTAGGCAGTCTGTTTGGTGGCTCCTCTCTTCCACAGCTGGATGGGTACACTAGCACAGCCTTCATGAAGGCAATCCGGCAGTGTGTGCTGACATGACAGGCACACACCCTTGACCAGTGTCTCACTTCAGAGAAGTTAGCTCCAGCTGAACTGCTCACAAAAAGTCAAATATGTGAAGGCTGTTGATCAGAGTTTTGTGTGTAATAACAAAAGGCAGGAAATATGCCAAGTGTCAGGCAGTAGAAGGCTGGCTACACCCTGGCAAGACAACCATGGGGTGAACATTATGGCTATAAAGAAGCACCAGCGGGCGGGCTCTCCAGGTACTGATGTGGACTGATCTCGAAGGAGTACTCAGAGAAAAAGGAAACTGTTAAGTTTAATTATAGACATGTTGTGTCCTGGTGATAGCATGAAAAGTGGGTTACAGTGTGGGGTACTACACAGCACTGTAGCAGTGACAATACTGCTCGTGGCTATGGACCGTTCAACTTCCACGGAGAGTTTTTATTTGTACATGAGATCAAACCCAGGAAGCTCTGAGCTACACTCCTAGCAGGACTGGGATGAGCAAGAGCCTTGGCAACCATACTGCAGGTCCAGGGCCTCCCTTTGCAGAAGAAGGGCAGCCCCTACCATCCACCTGCTGCTGTTGTCCCCATACACCGCGCAGGATGAGAGGGTAGGTAACACCAAATACACTCCACCACCCAGGGCAGACAGGTGTACGCACACGCCTCAAAAACACACTTCATCCAAGCCACAGATGCACAGATCCAGGACAGAGGGAGCGCACACGTCAAGGGTCACACACCTGGCCCTCCGGGAGCAAGAGCGGGAGCTTTCCCGCACACACAGCCAGGTCCCGGACCCTGCCCCACCCCTCGCAGCCAGGCCCCTCCAGTGGGAGCAGAAGCGGCCGCAGAGGCTGTTTGGGGGTCAGAAGGTTCCGCGGAAAGTGACAGAGGGCGGGGGCGGGGCCAGGAGAGGGCTGAGCGCAGGAGGCGGGGCCCCGGGGCGAGCCCGGTCGAGCTGGGCTCTACACCTAGGTCACCGGGCTTCCGCTGTCCGCTCCCTGAGCACTCTGGCCCTGTCCCCTCAGGGCCCCCCATTTACTTACCCAACTCTGCCCAGCCGTCCCCTCATCCGCAGGGACCCAGGCCCCCCAAACCCCCTTACCTCAGCTTCGACCCCGCAGAGCCCCCGACAGCCCCCAAAATACACACACCCGATGCGACCCTGCAGTGCCCCCACGCGTCCCTCACACAGCCTCCCCTCGCCTGACCACCCGGCTCCGCCCCCACGCTCACAAAACACAGACGGCACACTCCTGGGGTGACGGTCACACACCGCCCCGGGCTTCCCCCTCTCCGGGGACTTGGCTGTCGAGCCCTACAGATGCGCACCCCGCGGGGGGGCCCAGGCACCTGCAACCCAGGGAGCTCTCGGCCAGAGCGACCCGACGGCAGAGTTTGTTCAAAGTTGTGCGCTTGCGTGCGTGAGTGTGGGCGCGTGTGACACGCAGATCGTGCAGACGCGCTGCACCCCCTGCCAGACGCCCCTGCAGCCCGCCAGCTCCCTCGGCCGTCCCGGCAGGGTACCTTGTTCTCCAAAGTGACAGCTGCCCGCTTCACTGAGGCCGATCTCGCGGTCAAGCCCCCCGGGCGAGAGCGTGTGCGGAGCCCCCGGCGCCTCGGCCGCGAGTGACTC